AGAACCAACTGAAGAGGAGCAAGAGAAACCCAGGCCATGGTGAAGACACCACGAGGAGCACACCACAGTGATCTTTGGGATGTCCCACCCAGATGTGACCCACAAAACCCCTGCAAGGTGTCCACCTGAAGGACCCCAGGAGTGGTGGAAGAGAGCTCAGCTCCTCTCCTCTCTCAGCTTACTTCAAGGGCCTCGTGAGGTGGCTCATGGCACTTGTCCCAGATGCCTTGAAGCTGGTAGGAGGGACCATGACCAGCAGGGTCTGTCCATGTGCAGAAGGCAGCTCTTTGGCCAGAACAGGACTTCCAGGCAGGGGCCGACGGGGAGGTTGGTGCTTTGGGACAACCTGAGATCACAAAGGGGAGAGACCACCCTTAGAGGAGCAATCCAGTGACCTTCCACAAAGCTCCCTCCCCTGCTGCAGAGCTGTGAGATGCTTCAGCACCTCACCACCCCTCCAACTACCTTCAAATAGTCTCATCATCTGAGTTTTCTTCTTCCTCACAACAGATGAACCTCCTGGGATGGTGTCCCAGCTCCTCAGTTGGTGCCCAACCCAAAAGAGCCAAACCCCACAGGATTTTTTGGAGCCCAACCAACCCTCAAAGCTCACCAGGGGGGTCCTCACGGGGTCGCAGGGCAGAGGTCTCTTCGGAGGTGGCAGCTTAGCCTGGGACAGGAGGGTTTTGGTAGGGACCAGGGGTGATTTGCTGGCTGGTGGTGGTGGCCTGGCAGGTTTGGGGTCTCTGGGGCGTGAGGGGAGGGAGTGGGGAGCTGGCTGCAGAGGGTGGACGACGTTGATGGGCTGGGAGCTGTGCTGCTGAAGGCTGGGCTGGGGCAGGAAGGCAGCTCGGGTGGCCTGCAAGGAGGAGAGAAGCAGAAACACAAAGGGACATCTTCAGTGAAGCACAGGGGAAACATCTCGGGAGCTGTTGGAGTGTCCAGAGGAGCCACAGCAATGCTGGGAGGGCTGGAGCAGCTCTGCTGGGAGCACAGGCTGAGGAGTTGGGGCTGTTCAGCCTGGAGAAGAGGAGGCTCTGGGGGGACCTTAGAGAGACCTTCCAGTGCCTGAGAGGGGCTACAGGAGAGCAGGGGAGGGGCTGTTCACAAGGGTTTGGAGGGACAGGATGAGGGGGAATGGCTTTGAGCTAGAAAAGGGCAGATTTAGGTCAGATGTTAGGAGAAAGTTCTTCAGTATGAGGGTGACAGACACTGGAAGAGGTTGCCCAGAGAGGTGGTGGAGGCCCCATCCCTGGGGACATTTAAGATCAGGCTGGATGAAGCTCTGAGCAGCTTGATCTAGTTGGAGCTGTCTCTGCTGATGGCAGGAGGTTGGACTAGATGACCTTTGGAGGGCCCTTCCAGCCCAGACATTCTGTGATTATGATTCTAGGTGTGTTTTCCTGGGTGCTGAAAAGCAGCTGTCCCCTCCAGGTCTGGGTGGAGGGAGCTGCAGGAGCAGTGGGGATTTATTCCACTATCTGGGACCATCTCTTTTACCATCCCACCCAAAAGCTGAGTGTGTTTGCTCCTTGCTGTGGGATAGGAGAAAGGTGCTGGGCTCAGGAGAGCTGGACCAGGGTCAGCTCTGATGAATCCACACCAGATTTCCACCAGTCTGAATGACAGAGATGGGAGGCATCACCCCTTCTGCCCTGCTCTGAGAGTGGCTCAAACCCCAAAACCAGCACAGAGCACCAGTTTTGAGGGGGAGATGTGATCACCCATGAGCATCAGGTCCCAGGGAGGGAAATCAAAGCTGGCAGGTGAGTTATCACTTACTTTACTGGTGTGGCTGGAGGTGGAGATGTTCCTCAAGGTGAAGGCAGCTTTGGGGTGGCCACTGGTTGACTTCCTGCTGCTGGTTTTGTTCCTGCCCAGGATCACAAACGTAAATCACAGTGGGTAAAACAAAGCAACAGGTTTTTTTTTGCAGGAGCTGCCTCCCAAAATGCTGCACACCAGCCAGACCCTGTCCCTGCTCACAGCCTCTGGGGGAGCAGGGCTCACAGCTCTGCCTGCAGAGGGTCATGAAGGAGCTTGGTTGGTTGGTTCTGGGCTTTTTTTTTATTCCAATTATTGCAGAGGGTCTAAAATAATGAGCAAATTGTAGGGGAAATCATGAGAGTATTTAAATTCAGTGCTGCTTTACAGCTCTTCCAGCTAGGAGCAGATGGCAAGAAAGCTCCTTGGTACCAGGCCACCTTCATCATCACTCTCTGGGGTTGTCCTGACCAACTGGTCATCCCTGTCCTCTGCTCAGGGGAGAGCTGAGAGCCTAGATTGTCCCAGGAGAGAGCTCCTCACACCTCAGCCAGGTCTCACAGCAGCTGGAAGCAAGCCCTGTACACCCCGAGCTCTTCCACAACTATTCCTACCAGGCTGAACACAAGGTCTTGGGAGCTCACCAGGTCCTCAAGAGAGAAGGGATTGAGGGTGCCTCACCCACCTGTATGTCTCCTGGCTCCTCCTTCTCAGCTCCTTTATCCATTTATTCAGGAGTGAGTCCTCCCGTCGGTACCAGAAGCAGACGCTCATCGTCAGGGCCGGGAGGAAGAGGAGGAAGAGGAGCAGAAGGGTGATCAAGATGGCTTCGTGGTCTGCCAGAGAAAGCACAAATTGGAGTGGGAGGCTGGGAGAGCCAGCAGCCTCCAGCTTCACCCCACGGAAACCTCTCTCCTGTCTGCCCCACTCCAAGCCACCCAAGCTGGAGGCACGGCGGCCGCTCGCACCTCCCAACCCAAGAGCATCTGGTGGCCACCAAGCAACCAAGAGCTGGCTGTTGGGTCTGCCTGAGTGGTCCCAACCCAGGATATTGGGGAGCAGAGCTGCCAGCAGCTCCAGCAGCCCAGCTCCCCTCCTCGTGGCATCCCCCAGCCCAGCCCTGAGGTGTCAGTGGGGGTGTGGTGCCCTGTGACTCACTGTCAGGCTGCACGGGGCCACTGTCCACGCTGCCCCCCAGGCCTGGCTTCTGGCAGTGGGGGGTGTGGGGGGGGGGGGGCGCCCAGCCAGCATCACAGTGGCAGTTCTTGTTGCTGTTGCAGACCTGCAGGGAGAGAAGGTGGGTGGGGAGATCAGTAGGGATGTATGGAAATGATGGTCTCTGGGGTGGGGGTTGAGAGAAGATGACCAATGGCAGGAGGGCTGGCTGAAGGAGGTGAACTCCTGCCAACGTTCAGCCCTTCAACATCATTTAGATCATGTCTGGGTCACCTTCAAATCTGTGATTGAATTATAGAGTGGATTGGGATGGAAGGGACCTTGTAAGGTCATCTTGGAATCACAGAACCATAGAATGTCTGGGCTGGAAGGGATCTCCAAAGACCTAGTCCAACCCCTCTGCCATCAGCAGGGACATCTCCAACTCGATCAAGCTGCTCAGAGCTTCACCCAGCCTTGTCCAACCCCCTGCAGGGAGCAGGGACATCCCCAGCTAGAGCAGGGTGCTCAGAGTTCCATCCAACCTCCCCTGGGATGGTTCCAGGGATGGGGCAGTGACCACCTCTCTGGGCAGCCTGGGCCAGGGGCTCACCACCCTCAGTGTCAAACATTTCTTCCTTCTATCCAGTCTGAATCTACCCTGGGTTAGTGCCAAACCATCTCCCCTTGTCCTGTCCCAAGAGGCCCTGAGAAAAAGACTCTTCCTTTGCCCTCAGAGGCAACAGGCACCTGCCCTGAGCTCCAAGCACTCTCCAGCTTCAAACTGGACCCTGACCCAAATTTTCCAGGTGCTCCTTACATCACAAGTGACCTTTCTCTTAACCTGGACACAGGAAAGCAAAGATCTCAGCTCAGTCTCACCCACAGCTGATGCAGGAGAGAGTTATGAAAACTGTGCTGCAGGTCTCCCCTCCTTGGGAGACTCGTGGTCAGCTTCAGAAGCTGCATCTATCTGAGGAGCCCCCCGTGGGTGGAGCTCAGGGTAACTCACCCCGTGGCCATTGCACTGGGAAACACACTTCTCCAGCTCAAACAGGGAGGCATTCTGGCACCGACGGTCCTTGCAAACCTGGGAGAGAGCCAAGAACCTGAGGTTAGCCCCAAGAGAGCATGGGGGACAGTCATCTTCTGCCTTCACGTTGGGGAGTCCTCTGGAAGGAGGATGCTCGTTGGAAAAGGCAGGTTGGTTTCATCACCTGGTTGCAGGTTGATGCCTTTCACTCCAGCTCTCAGCAGCAGCCTCTCAGCTGAGACCAGCCACCACCCATCCCACCCCTGTCCTCAGACATCCCCCCCAGCACCTCCTGGAGAAGCCATTTCCCATCTAGCCCTGAAATCTTGGCACCAGCCCACAAAAACGACCCTGGATTTTGAGGCTGTCCGTCCCTCCTCAGGAAAATGTTGACATTTTGGGCCTCCCTCCCAAACTGGGATGAAAATTTCACAGCCAAGGCCATATCTCCACAGCCCACTCTGTCTGGCATGCATCCCTGCTATCCACCAGGCTCCTGACCCTGCTCAGCTGAACTGACCCTCTGTAAAGGACTTGGAGATGCAGGGGCTACAAAAGAGACTCGTGCCCAGTTGGCAGCACCTCTTTGGAGCTGCTGCCTCAATTCCCAACACAGCTTTCCCCCAGGAAACCACCTAGTCATACAAAGAAGCTTCACCCATCAAGCCCTGGGGCACGCCATTCTCGTGGGTGCTGCTCCCCTGGGTGTTAAATCAGTGAAGAGGCCCTGAGCCCAGACAGAAGAACTCCTTGGCCTACACATAAGCCAAGGTGATGTCTAAAAATGCCCCAATTGAGACCTCACCAGGCCCACAGCAGCAAACGTGGAGGAAACCACCTCTGGGGGGAGAACCAAGGAGATCATCCCCCAGAGGACACCCCAGGAAGAAGGACTCACCATCCCATCTCCACATTTGGTCCCAGTCATCACCAGCCCGGGGTCAGAGAGGTCTTCCTCCTCCTCCTTGGTGGTGTAGACGTAGGTGCCCCTGCACCTCACCTCCCGCCCGTTGAAGCGGATGGTGGTGTCGATGGAGACCGTGTTGGTGCCCTGGGGCTTCTTGGCCCAGCTCTGGCACTGGATCTTCCCACACATGGCATCCCTAGGAGCAGGTCAGGGGGAGGGGAGGAGGTGTGGGGACCTTGGCTCCCCGTGGATTTATGGCCATGGGGAGTTGGGATGGGAGAGGCTCAGCGGGATCAGAAAGGAGTCGGGTAAGTCATGGAGGGCACACAGAGGGATGATGGTGGGAGCAGCCAGGGGAGGTCCTTCTGACAGCCCTGGTCTCACTGGGGATACTGGAAGGCACAGGCTTCCTAAATAGCATCTCCTCTTAGAGGCTGGCTTGGATTTCCCTCTGGGGTGGGTTGAGAAGTGACACAGGGTGGGACAACCTCCCAGCAGTGATGGGGACTGAGCCCACCCAGGAAGGACCCGGTGGCTTCCTCAGCTCCCAGACAGAGCTGGCATGAGGCGAGCTGCCAGGAGGTGAGGGGGTAGGACCCTGCCAGCCCCTTCCCAGGGGTGGGCTGGGGGTGCAGGAGGAGGAGATGGGGCACCCAGGGGTGCCAGTGCTGCACCCACCTCTTGTCACACTTCACGTAGCGCCCTTGGCTGTCCTTGCCGCAGTTGCCGTAGGTGTTGCCAGCCATGTTCACGTCCTGGAAGCAGGCATCTGGGGCTGGCCAGGCTCCTGCAAGCAGGGGGAAGGTCCCACTTGGGATGGGGACAGCAGCCAGCAGGGAGAAATGCCAAAATCGGGAGCAGCAGACGGATGCCAGGTCCCCACTGAGCTGTGTCCTTCACCCCACATCTCCACGGCTTGGAAACCCCTCCAGGGGTGGGGACTCCACCACTGCCCTGGGCAGCCTGGAACAGCCCTGGGCAACCCTCCAGGGCAAGAAATTGTTCCTCAGGGGCAACCTCAACCTCCCCTGGGGCAACTTGAGGCTGTTTCCTCTTGTCCTGCCCCTTGGACACCCCCCCAGCCACGCCGGTGGGGAGCCCAGGGGGTGGGTGCTGGGGGCAGGGGTGAGGAGGAGGCTGGTGGGACTCACCTGGTCCCCAGAGCTGGACACACTGCTGGTGGTGGGTCATGCACATGCCATTGCTGCAGTAGGCCTGGCCGTGGGCACAGGAGGAGCCATCCAGCAGGTAGACATTGGGTGGGCAGTAGGCTGAGGCCCCCGTGCAGTACTCGGGGAGGTCACAGGATCCTGCTGCTTCCCTGCAGATGGTCCCAGCCACCTTCAGCTGCAGCAGGAAGAGGGAAAAAGGTCAGCACTGAGGGGCAGCAAAGGGGCTGAGCTGGATTTGCTGCCCCCCCTCAAGCAGAACTTGAGGCCAGGAAGCAT